AAAAAACTACATCTCAGTAGTTTCACACAGTCGTTTGGAATGTTGTATTCTATGTTTGAAATGTTGAAATAATCTCCATAAATTAAACATAAAGCCACTGCAGGAACTCACCTCAGGCAGGTGTAGTTGAGATAAATGTAAAGGAAAGGTTGGGGAGAAGGAAAACACATTGCTGGGGTTAGCGGTGTGAATATTGTGAATTAAACTCTTGCTTCTCTCAGGTCTACCCACTGCTTGGCTTTCCAAACCCAGCAGTCTCTCAGGCCTCTGAGCGTCTGATCAAAGAACATCAAACTAAGTATGGCAAAACCTCCAGGATTCTGCAGCAGGTAGGCCGACACACAGCTCAAAAGAAAACTTATCCAGATCTTCTCCAGTAGTGGAGGGAAAGAAAACAGCTATCCTTGTTCCATCAGCAGCTAATTCTAGTTGAAATATAATTGATTCGAGCTGAAATTCCATTATTTGTAGTTGAAGCAGCAAGGAAAATGTGCAAAGTTTACTTTAGACTTCTGTTTTGAGTCTATAGGCTATAGTGTAGTCACCCCCAGTGGCCAGCCTGTGCTGGTGTGCCTGTGTTACTCTGCAATTTATTGCTTTGCTCTGCAAATTATTTAACTTAACTGATTCCTCAGTTAGTCAATAGAAAAATCAATAGACTGTTCAATTACTAAAGTTGTCAACTGCTACAGAAGCTCGAGGGATAAGGTGACCTATAAAGATAACTAAAGCCATCTTGAATGATTTGATGGTGGTTGAAGAGTTAGCTGTTATATAAACACTCAAAAAAGGGGAATTAATTGTTGGAATTTTTGTTAAAGAAAAGGACATAAAGGTTTGAAGTCAATGCTAAGCTAAAGTATTCTGACTCAAGCTGACGCGCTCTGATGCTGTTGAAAGTTTTCCTTTAATATGAATCCCTCCATCTCTCTCTCTTTCAGAGGCAGACGGTCGAGCTGATCCCCATCACTCAGGTGAACTACAAGTGGAAAGACAAGAGCTACGTCTACTACGTGTACGGCAACGAGCGCAAAGTCAGTGCTGATGACTACCCAGAGACCTGCTGCTGCGTCATCCTGTAGACCACAGGTGTCTGGTGTCCTGCAAGTTTTAGTGAGTCCTTGATCCAACACAGCTGATTTAAAGGCTAAATTACCTCTTCAACATTTGTTGAAGTTCTCCAGAGGTCTGGTAATGAACTAATCATTTGATTCAGGTGTGTTGACCCAGGGTGAGATCTAAAACCTGCAGGACACTGACCCTCGAGGCCTGGAGTTCGACACCCCTGCTGTAGACTGACAAATACACACAGCTGAAAGCAATTAAACATGATTCATTTATTAGGGTAAGAAAAGCAAACCATACCTGTGTAAAAAAGTAATAGAATGTAATGTTCTGTTCAGCATTTTATTAAAATTAAAAAATTTAAATAAAAACTCTATACTGACAGTTAAAGTTGGTGCTGGTAATGTCACATTGTGAGCAATTTACTGTAATTGATGGAAACGTGAATTCTGCTCTCTACCATAAAATTCAGAAGCAGAATGTCCAGCCATCACTTTGGGTTGTGAAGCTCAAGCACACTTGGCTTATGCAGCAGGACAATGTCTGAAATACAATAGAGTCTACCTCTGAATGGTAAAATAAATAAATAAAGAACAAAAAGTGAAGGTTTTAAAGTGACCTAAGAAAAGTTTGGACTTATATCAGATTGTGATTTTTGCCGTTCATGCTCAAAAACTCTTGAGCGTGGCTGAATTTAAACAATGCTACAAATAAGAGCGGGCTATTATTCCTCTACAGCGATATGAAAGAGTCATGGCCAGTTATCACAAATGTCTGACTACAGCTTTTTCTGCCAAGGGTTGCACAAGCTCTTATTAAGTTTAGGTTTAGCGGCAACTGCTTTTTACCCCTTAAGCGTAGAAGGCTGATGGGGTATCGTTGTCACCCCACCGGCCAGGCATGTGGTCGGGTGGTGTGGACACCAAAGTTTGTGAATGCAATAACTCAAGAACGAGGCCCTTAATATCTTAAAAATTGCAATTCTTCATTAATCCCTGAGGACGTTATATAAACACCTGCACCACCAGGAATTGAACCCAGGACACAAGAGTTGTATTGTATTATGCCACTACACAAGCAAAATAAGCTCGGCCTGACACCATACCGTGCATCTAGGAAACTGAGGGTTAGCACTGGCGGCTGCCAGTATTTTTCACGTAGTATCAGGTAGGTTTGGTTAATGTTTTTCCCTTGATGAATGAAATCATCAATTAAAAAGTGTATTTTGTATTTTCTCTGGTTTGTGTAGAATTAAAAGGTTTTTGATTTGAAACATTAAAGTATGACACATATGTTAAGAAGTAAGATATCAGGAAGGGGGTGAATACTTTTTCACAATAATGTAAGTGGTCAAGCTAAAGGAATAATTGTGATATTTCACATTTTATAATGCTTCATTTAGAGCTACTGTATCCATACAACCCAGTCTCATAGGATAACATAACAGACTGTGGGGATTATATCATTTTATATCATGTTTATTCTCTTAAATCCTTTTTATTAAGCTTTGAGTAGCATTTGATTACAACATTTATTCAATATATATTACACATATAGTTTCAAGCATGTTATTACATATATTGTAAGAATGTGTTTATGAAAGAGTTGGCCTTCTGTCTGGTAAGAGGTTACAAGCTTTATCTGGTGAGGTGAGACAGAGTGCAGTGAGGTCGAGACAGTTCGCCTGCATACACAGACAGTATATAGATTCATTTCTAGGTTAGAGTTAAGACATATTTTGCTTGTAACTGCATTTTGTGCCTGCATAAGCAACAGTTTTTGTAGAATGTGTTTCTGATGTTCCAGAGATGTTTAAGTGTGTGTCAAAGGTTGTCAGCAGAAGAG